GCGCTTAGAATATATATATATATATATATATATATATATATATATATATATATATATTTTATATTTGTTATATAGTTTTTAGTATAGTGTATGAAGTTTTATGTGAAACTAGCAGTAAAATTACGGCATACGTTGCTGAATGTAATTGCAATGTTACAAACAAAGTAGAATATTTTACATTTCTCGCCGAAATTGTAGTGAATATCACGAATGCTTGAGTTTGACGTAAGATAGTCACCATTTGGTGTCTGAAGATCATCGGTGACGTCATCATTCCAATTACCAAGGAGCCCACTTGTATTTCCTCTCATTATTTCTGGACCAACAGCCACGATGGACATGATGTCATTGGCAGCTTCAACAGTGAAAACTAGTCCGAAGTCAAACGCGACTGTAACCGACACGCTCGTCACATTAGTTTTCTTACTATAGAATATAGTAATACCTGTGGACAGGGAATAACCAGTTTGTACCAGATTTAGCTTTTTTTTAAGTCGTAATATATGGCATAAAAGCAAATTCTGTTAGTTTCATTCCTTCAATCTTTTAACACAAATGTAACCCTCTAAATTAGTCAAATACAAATAGAAAGTTTAGAAAATTTATTGCAATTTCGAAAAATAAATAGAAATTGAAGTTGAACAATATGTAAGAATGTATTCAATTTAGCAACATTTAAAAATGCACACAGAGTAAAAGAGAAAAAAGAAAACAAAAACAATATTCAAAAGGAAATCAAGAAAAAATATAAAATTAAATTTAAAAAGGGGGGAGGGGAAACATCAAAGCACTGAAGGATTCAAAAACAAGAAATAACAAGGACAAAGACAAAATAAATGAAAAGCAACCACGCAGAGAAACGAAGAAACATCAAAAAGGTCGACAGAAGAGATTTCAAAAAATTGGATATTATGTACAATTTCATTAAAAAATATCACAAAGACCAAACCTGAGACCACCATAAATTTTCAGGTACCAAAGGTGGTCAGGAATTGGAAGGCAAACTGTATACATTCTTTAGAAATCAACTGATATAATAGAATTTTAATAGTCATATAGGTATTACCTGCGTCATACCAAATCGGTGTTAAATCAAATCTAATTTGGGACCACTGGCTGTCACTGTCGGTCACATGTACCGCTAGACCACGTATTTCATTCAAGCTCACATGTACGTTGGTCCCGTTGTTGTACTGAGCTGCGATCGCAGTAAACCGAGTAGCATTCGTCACATCACCTATATAGAAGTACCCAACGCAAAAATATGTGCAATTTGTTAAGGCAAACAGCTTTATGAATAATTACAAAATAGACATTCAAAAAATAACAGCACAGGCTGAATTACATTTTGAATTTACAAAGATAAAAGACAAACAACAAAATTAAAATAGTTAAAACCATTTGTATAAAATCACATATAATTACATTTTGAATTTGCAAAGGCAACGACGATGACGACGACGACAGTGATACACTATCTCTGTCCGTGTTACCACAATTTCTTTGAAACAAATTGTATGCCATCATCATTACCATATTCAAGCATGTCATATTTTTATTAAACACACTTTGTGCTTGCTCAGCAAACATTAAACTGCTGCTTACCTGCAACCTGTAGGGGTTCTGTTCGTCCTTGCATCATAAACATTCCATCTAGTGAATTCATTAGGACGTACTCGCCATGACCATTAAAGGTGTACGGAAGTCCATCAAGAGTTTGTATGTGGGGATCACCATTCATTCTAGCTGTTGAGAAAAAGTAAAACAATTACTGCGAATGGTATATAATGTAATGTTAGATTGTGTATAACGCTTTATACCGAAGTTTCAAAATACTCAAAGAGTGTGGACTAGCTACGCGGGCTGGTGCCAGCTACTCCTGTCTGTCCACAAAAATGGGCTGAAAGAACCAGCTACGCTGGGCAAACTCTCTTCTCATCTCGAAGATGCACTTGGTTTTTCATAGGTACACTTAGCCTGTCCTTATCTGAGAAGACTTGTTCCACCACCAGAACTATATCCAATGTGCCGTTTTTAACAACCTAAAAAATTACTCCACTCACCTGGCCTAGGAGGCTGGTATCCAGAGCAGTCATGCGACGGTCGAACTGGAATAAAATCAGCTAAACAAGACGTACGGTCCCTGCAGCATCGTCGGTACGGTAATATGTCGTGCAAAAAATGGGACAAGTAAGGAACATTACCGTTTTCGTTAAATGGTTTCTGGCCAAGGTGATGGTACCGGTGCGCATATCCAGCGTGTAAGTTATCTTGAAGGTTGGTGAGGTCTCCATTGGTGTCGTAACAGCATTCTAGGCCATGACCTTCAGAACTGAAAAGGTCGCAGTTAAAAGACGTGTATTTAGGACATTGTCTGGGTTACAAAAAATATATATTTAAAAACATATATTAAGACAGGTACTCCTACAAAACATCGTATAACTGTTTCATCTGCTACAGTAATTGTATCATATTTGACAACTTCTGTAAGAATTACCTAACGATCCTGGTCAGCACTGTAAGTTGATATTTCTAGTAAGTCACATTTTAAAATCAGTTTAAATCATTCAAGGAGAATCTACATTATTATTGTTATCCTAATTCAGAGAAAGTGTAGAAGTAGGCCTATTTTAATATGGGCAAAGAAATTACATCACTCGGTTTGTACAATTTATTTTAAGTGGCATTCTTGATAATTTATAATTCATCATAATCATTTATTCATGTTTCATAAGAACAAGAGATTAATGTTTACCTTGGCGTACTGCTGCGAACGCAGTGGACGATGTTGTCGTCATCTGCGCATGATTCGTAGACCGTGTTTGAACATCGCGGACTCGGTGAGAAACGCCCCCTATCCACCAACGCACTCTGTAAGTTGCATGGACATCGAAGTTCACCATCTGATGAAGCAAGTTGTATTGGATTCTGCGACTCAAGATTGCCCCAGGAGGAGCACCATTTCGGCACATTCAAATCATTAAAAATACGCAAGTCAAATGCTGTCTCTTATACACATCNNNNATATATATATATATGCCTATTATATTATATTATATATAGTAAAACTTAATTAACTTACTAACTAGTGCAAACAGTGCACCTTTTCACTAGCCCTTTCCCTTAGCTTTTGTTGCTAAGGTCCCACAAACCGACTGTAAAAGCATACGCACAAAGTCACGTCACGTGGGTTTGTGGGACAACACGTGTTTGTAGGACATGTGCGTATTTGTGGCCTTGCTCTGATTGGTCAGTTGTAAAGTTTGACCTCTGAGAATGGTCCATTACGAGCGTAGGTAGCAAACTATTTGGCCGGAGACCAGAGATTTTAAATCATTTTTTAATATACCTAGTCTGATAATTATACATAAAAGCACATAGACTCCTATTATTTAATTTGCGTATTATAATTATACCTGTTCTGTTCCCCTTCTTCATCTCCTTGTGATATCCGTATAATTCCTACATGTTTGGTTGTTGAGAGCTTTAGAATGATTTTAAACTGCAGGTCCCCACTAGATTGAAGGACAATATCATTCGCCACATTAATTCTATCATTTTCTAGCTCTGTAGAATCGGATCCATCAAAGTATACATAAACATCTATATCGTAGTACGATCCGGCCAAAGCATCATTCGGCCACACAACCTTAGGATATGTGCCGTCCGTATACAGTTGAACCTTTGGTGCTACATCATCATTGACGTCCTCAACACTTACTGTGGAGGAAGTATAACTTTTTATTAAACTGTTAGAAAAAGTGGTAATCAACAGGTAGATACAGTGTATCATGGTTTTCGTGAAACATGGAGGTATAAAACCGTGAATTCACACACAAATCGCTATCCACTGCGCGTGCCATCGACTCTTATAATGGCTTTCTATTAACAATATTATAGAGTTATTATAAGTATTACCGGTAGTATAGCCCTATATTCTTTACACATGAATGCAAATGTGTTTACTGTGATAGTGTCGAAGTAACTGTGCAACAAGAACTCGATTATAGCTATGCATAATTGAAAGGCAGTTGGTATTTCTGTCTCTATTTGGGTAAATAATTAATTGTGATTTAGCACCTTTATTGTTTTGATGAAGCATTTTGGGTTATTCCTTGCTTTCAGAGTTTTCAATTGTAATTTGCTTTACCTTGTCTTGTATTGTATTCTTTGTGTATTTTTACTCTAGTTGCTAAATAAATTCAAACAAAATGAGATCGAGTGAATTATACATTAAATTCGGACACTCGCTGCGCCCGAATGTCATTGTTTGAGGCGATTCTATGGAGAACGCAACGCCATGGCGCGTGTTCAATGGATCTTATTTAATGACGATCTTCTGTTCAGACGGCCACCGATAATCTTTCTATGTCTGCAAAAGTACAAATGAAACATCCAAAGCTTTCCATTCTTTGATAGGCTATGATTTACTGTAGAATTAAATACGGTACATGTTTGGTGATCCTTACTTAAAATGCTAGTTCTAAATTTGGTGATGAGAAGGCTAAGTTTTTATGTGTTTCATTCTTAAAATTTCCAATAATGCTGAATTAACTGGTATCGTTCCGATACCTAAGTTTATATTTAACGTATATAATATACAATATTGGGGCAATATTGCGATACAGCTTAACTCACCCCACATGGAGAAATTCAAAACTAAGGGTCTAAATTTAACAAAGGTCAAATTGATATAAAACCTATAAAGGTCTTAATTTAAGGAAGATGAAAATTGACATAAAAAGTCATGTAGTCATTCTGGCATAAACGAGTATATTTTCTGGTTGGTTCACGATGTACAACTATAAAAACTAGTTACTTTACCAGAGGTGTATATTCCCCGAAAGCCAAATGTTGCACCGCCATCAATTGAAAGAAACACATAGACTCTGCCAATACGGAGTAGGATAGGCACAACGCAAGACACTGTGCGCCTATCCAAAAATTGACATGGTGTCGTCGGTCCCTTGTCTTTGTCAATGAATCTGCACATGACATTGTCGGTGTTCTGGAAACATGGTCCTTGAATGCTGGTTTTATTTCCACCCAACATTGATCCAAAAGCCGGATAAAGTAATAGCGAACCGGTTGTAGGTCTATGTCCTTGGCCTATAAGAAGGAAAACGTTACAATGTTGGTACGGTGGTAATTGGGATTCTCAAGTCAGAGGTTCCAGTCATTAGGGAGCTTTCGATTGCACGACGACGGCAGGACGTAGAACGTAATGACGTCACGCGAGAACGTTAAGGTCACCTCGTCGAGTAGATTTTAGAACGCAATTTGGCCAAATCTACAGTACGTATGCAAAGAACGTAGGACGCCAGGGGCGGATTGCTATAAGCGGTCTTTAGACGGTCTTAACGTTTAGCAGGCTATAATCGTGATGTCACTACTGGTATGAGTATAGACCATTGCTACCGCGGTCTAACCAGCTAGTCGTCTTAAATTCTAAAACCTACTCGGAGGATGCTTAAAACGAACGGTCTTAAATCATTTTCATCAAGCCGTTGCTGATTAATTCAAAGACCTAGGCCTAGATCGTCAAAGTCAGAGAATCGAACGACGAATATTCCGCACGCTTCTCAGCGTCTGTGAAAATAGGTCTACGTTTATTTTTTACACGTTCATTTCGATACATTTGTGTGCGTCGAGCACGCATGACGTCGCCCCCAATCTTACGTTACCAGGGAGTGCTTGTTTGCATTTCAATACTCAAAGCGGTCTTAGGGAAGACTGTTTTATAGTAATTGTCTTTGAAGAATAACTTGAGTAAGATCGTTTAAGCTACTCACACAATATCAAGACCTACACTGCGATCGGTACATGATCGACACCGTCGTGGCCAGGTCGTGATAGTGTGATACAACTTCCTCGTGACAAGGCAGAGGTCGTGCATGGTCGCGGAGATTTTAACATGTTGAAAAATTTATTGTGGTCGGTACTGGTCATCAGTCTAATCGTAGTCGCTCTCACACGCGTCGTAATCATTTGGCTGAAGTGGCCATTATTACTTTCCACCAATAAATGATAAGAGGGCCGCCTACTTCCAGTCGGATACGACCGCAGTGCTAGGTCGCGATAATGTGAGAGTGATAAAGCCGGCTTTATTCGAGAAGTTAAGACTACCAGTTAAGACCGTTTTGTAGCAATCTGCCACAGGTAGGACGTCACGCATGAGTGATTCCGTTCTAGCGTCGCGTCGTCGCACAATCGAAAGCTCCTTATTGGTGAATTTCACATGAACCCAGGGGCTGCAATATAGGTTCAAACGCCAAGGCCCTTACTAGATGCCGTATTCTCCTCTTTCTGTTTGTTTTCTAAGTTGTTAGATAAAGTGAAACTTTACGCCTCTATATTTGAACAATTAATATTATTAATAATTTTGAGCATGCAAATTTTTAGCACGCGTCAATTTTCTTCAAAATTTCTCATTGATCATTCAGTATTAAATAAATTCATTTCAATCGTAATGACTGCACATGCACTGTTCTACCAATGTACACAAACAATTAATTCATAAAGCAGTAAATACAATTAGGCCAATGGCAAGATTAACACTTGATTCATCAATAATTATCCGCATTGTTGGTTTTTCCCAGCAGCATTGAGAAAAGGCATTGTTTTTGTTCTGATTTTTTTTCTTGCATATATTTTTCCTATATTTTGCCCTGTTTTTTCTGGCCGTCACCCTGGTCGCTTCCAATACTTAAAATTAAAGTGATTTAAGGTCAAACAGTCTACACCGGATATTTCAAAAACCGATCAGTAGATGTTAATGAAACTTACGGGAAAGTTTAATCAATTTACAAGGAAGAAATGTTTATGTGTTAGTGACGATCCAGAGAAGTGTGTATATTTGAGGATCTTTTCAATTTTTAGGGACCCAGACCTAAATATCTCTTTAAAAAAAATAACCAATGGGCCTAAATGAAACATTCTATAATATTTTGTAAAGGTCTTGTAAAAAAATGATTACATTTTTGTGACGATCTGCAGTATGTTGTGGATCTGAGGACCATTTAAAGGAGAACGTCCCAGACCAAATATTTCGAAAAAGGATCAACTGATCTGATGAAAAATTCGGCAAAAGTTTAACCAAGTTACAAGGAAGAAATTATTATGTGCTGGCGACAAATCAGTCAAGGGTGTAAATTGGAGGGTCATTTCAATTTTTGAGATCCCAGACGTAAACATCTATAAAAGTTTTCAATGGGTGTAAATAAACCTTCTATAATAGTTTGTAAAGGTCCAGTAAAGAAATAAATGAATTTTTGTGATGATCCCGCTTAGGGTGTGAATATGAGGACCATTTAAACGAAAACGTCCCAGACCAGATATTTAAAAAAAACGGGTCAACTGATCTGAATAAAACTTTCGGGAAAGTTTAACCCAAGTTACAAGGAATATATTATTATGTGTAGGGGACGATCCAGGTTGGGGTGTAAATTTGGGGGTCATTTAAATTGCTTACGTTCCAGTTATTAAAAAATGACACTTTGCAGAATAGTTTTAATGAAGAAATGGTATAATTTTGGTGACGATCCGCAGTAGGATGTCTTTTAATAGCTTTTAAGTTCTTCATAATTCAACGTTTTCCCTCTCTTAAAAACGGTCAGGTAAATTTTCTCATTCTTATTACAGTAAATAGGCATAGGCTTATTATGTGTGTATACATATGGAAAAAGAAATTAAATAGTTGCATACGTGGATATATTTTTTTCAATGAATCGATGAGCCCATAGGCATGAAAAACGCTCTTTACTTTTGAAAATAAAATATAATAATAACAGGCCTAATAATAATAATAATAATAATAATAATAATAATAATTATTATTATTATTATTATTATTATTATTATAACAATAATAATAATAATAATAATAATAATAATAATAATAATAATAATAATAATAATAATAATAATAATAATAATAATAATGATAAGTTTTGCATGATGATTTGTTCAGGTCCTGAAAAGGTGGGTCTAGATTTTTTTTTGCTTGGCAGCTCAAGGGGGGTCAGGACCCCCTGACCTCAGACTCGCAAATGCACTTAAAGATTTTTTGTTGACTGTTGATTAAATTATTTAAACACAATTTACGTTTTCTAAAGCGCTTAAACCAGTTACAGCATGGAGGTATTATTGAGAAGGAGATCACTCGGCAACAGATCCCTTTGACGCGACAAACCTATGTGTTCCCATAGAGATATAATAAGAATACTAGAGCGCTAACAGCAATGTATCCGATGTTCGTAATACGCAGAGCTGTGTGTGTGTACCATCCAAGATGGCTGCCATAGATTCAGCCAATCAAATTTCCCCTGAGCACTATCATTTTCAATTGCGCCCTCAATTTACACAGAAAGTTCAGTACAGCTAGTTACCCGTATTTTGAAACTCGAGCGTTGCGGTGTATGGCTGTAATGTACACGATTTTAATTCCTTTTAATATTTGAATAAGATGCTCTACTTGGCCTCTTTTTGGCTACGACAGTTTAATAATTTGTCATTATCAATACTAATTATCATTAATGAAATAATATTCAGTCAGAGGGCTTATTTATGGTAATAGTATGTATACTAAGCCTGAAGGTGGCGCTTTCCTACGGCAGCCATCTTGGATGGTACACATACACAACTCTGCATTGCTCCGCCATCTTGTCAGCACTCTAGTTGTTTAATAGCTCTATGTGTGTTCCCCACTTTTGGATCGCGCGCGGGCGTATTACCCTATAATTCACATTTTTTTCGTTAGCAACAACTTGGCAACGACATGCATTTATACGCTTCCAGCAGAGCAGTTGTGCAATAAAACGTTTGATTTTAACCCATTAAATATCTTTATAATGAACAATGTTCCCCTGATCAGATTTTTTCGGGCTTTTGGTATGTTATTATTTGTATATTTCAGAAACGGATTCCGTAAAATATTTATGTTAAAATTACTTCTGTGCTCATTATAATTTTGTCTAAAGATTGACTGGTTCGACTATAAAGCTAAGTCAGCGTAAAACTGAAAAATACTCAGATTTTGGATTCATTTTTCGAATAGTTAACCCTCGTTAACCCTAAAATGACTTAGTTTATTATAATCCTTAATCATTTATTAATTAATATCTGTTAAAATTAGAATTGGCGAATTTTGGCCAATTTAAGAAAATTGAAGTTGAAATATACTATACTTTTATAGGTCATGTAAATGTTCCATTAAATTCGAAACTTTTCGTGGAGGAAAATATTAATATGTTTGATATTTTATGAGAGATAAATGTATCAGCTTCAAAATAGAAAAGATTGCGCAGCCATAGTGATTGACAGTATATAGTGCGCATTGAGAAAGAAGGTGCTCTCCATTTCGTCATGTTCAATTTTTTGGTCAACTATGCCTGCTGAAAATTTGATGGCAGGGAACACATGGGACTCCAAAGGCATCGCGCAAACGTTCTTTACGCGCTGCGGCAACTTTGATCTTGGTAGCGTGCGCGTGGCTTTGCCGAGTGATCTCCTTCTCAATAATACCTCCATGGTTACAGCTAGGTTAACCTCAAAACAACCATGATATGCATGAACAATTTTTGCTTTCAGTTATTAAATTGCTATGAACTGAAAATTCACTTTCCTATCCAAGGTCGGCTCATATGGAGCGCAATGAATCACGATGTACCTCGCTATTACCATTGCAGCCATAGTTCAAGTTTTACTAATAACGTCGTAGTGAACTTGGTTTTCGTTTTTTTTTTTTCCACTTCATATTTTCAACTTCATTAAAATTATATTGGTTTTCCGTGTTCTTTTTTTAACTTTATACCTTTTAACGACTTTTCTTTTTGTTGCAATTTCAACTTCATTTCTCATTAAAGTAATGGGGAAAAGCCCAATGTTCTGTTGTTCAAACAGATATAGTAAGTCTAGTTATCTTTATTATCATTAGGTTATTACGAGATCTATTGTTGTTTTTAATAATAATAAATTGGAGAATTTGTATAGCGCCTGTTAAAAAAATATTTTTTTTGTCACTGGCGCTTAAAGATAAAGGAGTTATTGATTAAAGAGATAGGTTTTAAGGAGGGTCTTGAATGCATTAATATCAGAAGTTGATCTAATATTAGATGGAAGAGAGTTCCATAATCTTGGAGCGGCAAAAGAGAAAGACCATTCGACAGTACGAACATGCATCACCCTGGGGACAGATAACCTGAGAGAATTTGACTGTCTTGTGGAACGTGAAGATAATTGTTGTGAGATTGATGAAGAAAGAAAGCCCAATGTTCTGTTGTTCAAACAGATATAGTAAGTCTAGTTATCTTTATTATCATTAGGTTATTACGAGATCTATTGTTGTTTTTTAAAATAATAAATTGGAGAATTTGTATAGCGCCTGTTAAAAAAATATTTTTTTGTCACTGGCGCATAAAGATAAAGGAGTTATTGATTAAAGAGATAGGTTTTAAGGAGGGTCTTGAATGCATTAATATCAGAAGGTGATCTAAGATTAGATGGAAGAGAGTTCCATAATCTTGGAGCGGCAAAAGAGAAAGACCGTTCGACAGTACGAACATGCATCACCCTGGGGACAGATAACCTGAGAGAATTTGACTGTCTTGTGGAACGTGAAGATAATTGTTGTGAGATTGATGAAGAAAGATAGTGTGGGGCGTAGCCATATATGCATTTATGAGTGAGAAGAATAATTTTGAAGTTTAGGTGTTTACATATCGGTAGCCAATGTAGGTCTTTCAAGATAGGTGAAATATGATCACGAAGTTTAGTGACAGACAACATAATAATAATAATATTATTATTTTTTTATCATTATTGTTTTCTTTATCATTATAATTATAACAATTGTCATTTTGTATATCACTATCGTTATTATTTATGTATGTTATAGGATTAATATAGCGCACATATCCAGAAAATAGACGAGGCACTTTTTCTCATGGCCATTGGATACAGAATCAATCATACACAACGTGGAACCTCCTCCGCTCCCTGGGGAGTATTTCTAGTTATGTGTGTAATCAGCACTACTAATTTTAATCCAAATCATTCACCACCTACCAAGCACTGATTTATTATCATTATCATCATTATTATATCATCATTAGCATTATGGTATAAAAAAACAAAATAGGGCTTTCACCTTGGTATGTTTGACAGTCTTCACCAGTCACACTTTCTCCACCAACATTAAATACGTATCGGCCTGGTGGATTACCGTACTCCTCTATATTCACAATGGCCGCTGTTCGTGAAGCTGGTATGTTGTGATGTCGCACGCCATCCCCGGCGTTGCATCCGGCCTATGTAATTGACAATGAGAATAACAAACATTTACATAATTTGTTTAAAGTACAACTGCATTCGTTCCTGTAAATTATAAGATGTAAATAAACTACCGGTATTCAACAGAAAGCTCGGCAATTTTACGCCGATATATAAAAATAGCAACAATGGAGGTATAGGAAATTATATTGGAAATTATATAGGAAATTAATTATCACCACCATCGATGTTTACAATATCTAATCTTCCCATTTTATAATTATCATCACCACCATCGATGTTTCCACACTCATCATCATCATCATCATCATCATCATCATCATCATCATTATATATATATAAATTTATTCGTAAATATCATATACGTCATAATTGGCGGGCGGTGGGTTCGTGAAACGAGGGTTACAAAGTATCGCCTAATGAAACAATCTTTGGTGTTTGTTTTAACGGTGAACATTCTTAACCTTAATGATGGCCTCTGTTAACTTGCTTAATTTATTGCGGTACCATCAATTTTTTTCTGTTCTTATGTATGGCATAAAATTATGATATATTTAAATTCCATTTATGTTACTTCCATGCATCTCTTTCTTTGTACGTTTCCCTATTTGATTATACCGGCCTATTTTCTTTTATTTTACACCAAAATCACATGTTTCGAGCTCAACAAATTTACATTCCAAAAGGTTTAGAAAAATGTATACATTTCCTTCATTTCATTTTTTTATATTAATGTGATAATATATTATGAATTGGTGAAAATGAGAAAAGAAAAAATTGATAAGGTTAAAACGGGAAAAAAAAAAAACCAAACAAAACATGCTGGAAAGATGTTGAGTCTGGAATAAACTTGGGGTTTCCCACACAAAAGAGAGAGGGAGAAAAAAAAATCAATTATCGGTTAATGCTTATGCTAGAATTAGTTTAACACCTGAGCTGGTATTCCACCAAGACCATTTGCATCACCCCCACTTCCCCTATGCGTTCCAGTTGTCCACTGTATGTCACCGTAGTTAAAAATAGTGAACGAGGAGATTCCATCTGTCACCAGCAACGCTTGGAATGTGTTATTCTATGAATGAAACAACAAATCCTGTTATATAATATTTATATTCAGCATAAGATAAAATATGTTGAGCACAGTTTTGAGCCCTGTATTCAATGGGCTGCAACTAGGGTCGCCAATCAGGAGTTGAGCCAGTGGGAGGAGCGGGGGTGGGGGTGGAGAACATGCATAATTCATGTATTTTCTACATACTGTATTAGTAGGCTCGGAAATCGATTAGATAAGCCTTTGAAACTCCTATATTTTCAAAATTTTCGGAGGCTGCATATCAGGACCACTTCGAAATAGTTTTAGCGACGTCCGACCACGCCCACTTTGCTCTAGTCGGGGACATCGGCTTCCCCCTCCCCGTCGGAAACCTCGGACAGATCGCATATTCGATCTTTGCAAAGTGTCTACCTGCCAATTCTAGACATATGCATGGACGTTTAACAATTAGAAATGAAAAAAATGGTTTTCTTTGAAATTTACTTCGGCAAATGTGCACCTGCAGATTAGTTTAATTTTTTTTTTTAAAGTTTGTCTTATGGCAGTAATAGAATTCTATACAGTGACGGATTTAGGGGGCGTAAGGGGCGCCCCCCTACATTTTGCCAAAAAAAAAAAAAGAAAATATTACACCCACAGTGTTTAAGTAAAGTCTTCTTTTCCTACCAAAAACCCACACAATACAATGCACAGAGGCTGCATTTGTCACTGTCAGTTTCAGGTACCCTGTATAATAAAATTCCTTTTGAAAGACATACACCTATTTTTTTTTTTATTTGTTACTGAAAACTACCATGCTAGATAGTCAAAATCGACTCAATACAACCTAATATTCCTCAAATGTGCTGGCCTTCAAGGACCCCTACCAGGGGCTCTGCCACTGGACCCCGCCGGGGGCCCTAGGCATCCCCCTGCTCCCACCCTCGCCTAAGGCTGCTCGCTTCGCTGGCAGATTACACCCCCCCCCCACGAGGCTGCTCGCTTCGCTCGCAGATATAAGAGACAGGATATTACGTCCCCCCCTTTTCTGGCTGGCTGGATCCGCCCCTGTCTATACTAGGCATGGAAGTTTAAAGATGAAGACCCCATTGTTAGAGACGGTTACAAATTCAGACAAAAACGCCTCCAACAGTGACCTTCTAAAATTGTAAGTTGAGATCAATGGACAAGCGGACAAGCAGAGATTATATTATCCATTTATAATATCTGTTTGTATGTATGTTAAAATAGCTGCTATATTACAATGAAAATATATTTTAATCGTCCTATCCAAGTGTGATCCGAAAGTTTCTACTTGTTTAAGATGACCAAGCATGGGAATTTACGTTAATCAGTCTAAAATGATATTCACAAAATCAGCAAACTGTTGACAATTACAAATGCATGTAAAAATTGGTCGTAAAATTCGATAACAATGTACCACAAAAATCTATTTTAAATATTTATTTGAATTGATACACCGATGGAAACGATTACGCTTCCCGGTTTGATCTATGAGTAATCAAACGAAGGTTGTGATTTTTTTTGCTGGGTCTCTGTATGTTATCGTTCTGATATGATCACTATTCAAACAGAAAGCAGCAGGTTGATAATGTCACTCCACCGTTGTTGGTACGGTAACTTTTTAGCAGATAACAATATGTGTGTAAAGATTCTTGAATATATAGATAAGAATGGTACATGTAATGCACAAAAAGTCAATTGTCGATGGAAAACGACATCAGCCTTCTGATTAGACCATATTATAGTCCCGATATTTTCTCTTCAGCGAATTGTTTTATTGACAGTAACTCGTCTAATTCTTACATAATCTTTTTAACATTTTAATCGAAATAAAAACGGATTCCAAAAGTGGGATACGTGAATAAAGTTAGGTGGGTGGATGGAGGGTGGGTCGCTGAGCTAGCATGACTGGATTTATATAAAATTCTCATGCATCTTTCCCTTTGAAAAATATATATTTTAAGAATAAACAACCGCCAGCCGGATTCGAACCTTCGACTCGTCGCTTAAAAAGCGAACGTTAATAATAATAATAATAATAATAATAATAATAATGATAATGATAATGATAATGATAATGATAATGATAATAATAATAATAATAATAATAATAATAATAATAATAATAATAATCGTAATAATCGTAATAATAATAATAATAATAATAATAATAATAATAATAACAATAATAATAAATGTCATCTCTATTTCCTCCAAATTCACATATACAAAAAAAGAGAGGAGGGGTCAGAACAAAGGAGGAACTAGTTTCTATACCCAAAGGTTTCGTCTGCCCACATGAGTGACTCAATCAAAACAAGAGCGACCGCTCACTGGTCCTCGCGTTAAACTGAGGTTGACACTATTAAAACATTCTTAAATCATAGAGGAAATATCCTCCGTCCTTAAATACCGTACACAGTGGCGTAAGTTATTATTGGATTTTCGGCAAAGGTTTCATAATGCCATTTAAAGTACTACCACCTAGAGTTTCTATGCTATCATTACCAGAAAAAATGAATAAATAAAATAAAATGTCTTAAAAAAAAAAAAAAAATTGAATATTAATTTAGGGGTTTTAAAGGGTCTGGAACGTTAGCACTTATGTTGACTTCCCGGAAAGCTTCAATAGATCAGTTTTTGAGATATCTAGTGTGGGGTGTTTTTCTTTAAATGATCTCTACATCCACACCTCACTCCGTCACCAAAATAAAAAGCAATCTTTCATTCAATGTCAAAAATCACCTGTGAATATTTGACGCATGATGTAGATCTAAAACTGTAGGCAGGAGGCTGCTAACAAACAGACAAACACATAAACAAGTCAGATGAAAGTATAACCAACTTTTTAATAATTAGGATAAGACTTAGTAATGTCAATATTGTCCTATGAAAGTACTAGGCCTAACTATACTCACAATCATTGGTGGTTGGCCAGAGTATCCGAAAAACGCCACTTGATCCCATGTTGCAACAAACAACCAAATCAGTTCGAAATTTGGTTGAGTTATTTCGTGATTTCGAACAATTTCGTCAACATATTCGGCTAATTTTACATCAACTTGTCTGGTCATTTCTCTATAGTAAACAGTTCCTCCATTGTTGGTATCGACATCTGCCCAAAACGGGGCAATCATTGGCCAATTTTGACTTAAAGGGAAGGCGTCAGGCGTGAACTGACTCACGACCACATCGAAAGATATTGCACCATTAGTGTTCACCTAAAATGTAGGATAAAACACCTACTGTTATGCAACTGTGATAGATGCAGAGGGAAATATGCCTGAGTTTTATTTATTCTTATTTTATTTATTTATCTTTATATTATTTTATTTATTTATTTTTTCTTCTAGTTTTGATTTAGTCATTTATTTCTATTCTACATTATTGTACATTTCAATTATAATATAGTTGAAATATACTGTGCATTTTGCACAACAAAACTAGAAATTGCCAAATAGTTTCAGTGAAAGATTTCTAAGAATGAGAATCCAAAAATCTTAACATTAACTACAACAACAAATAATAATGATAGTGATGATGATGTTGAAGTTGATGATGATAATAATGATGATGATGATGATGATGATGATGATGATGATGATGATGATGATGATGAGGATGATGATGATGAAGATGATGATGGTTATGATGAAAATAATGGTGATGATGATGATGATGATTATGATATTGATGATAATAGACTCACAAAAAGAGACTCGTGAAGTGCATCATAGTAAGGGAAAAAAATTGCCAGGTCAACGACACCAGAAGAACCATCATCAATAAATGGTACAATTGCATCGCTAAAGTTAAGACCATATGGAAAGAATAAACCTATGTAAAATAAGATAAATTTTATTATTGAATTCACCTTAACAATCCATTTCGTAATCTGAACTGCGCATGCCGTATCCTAGGTCAGTCAGCATACACCTATAATAATGCTGTGTGTATGTTTTTTTTATTTTTTATATAGATTGACCTTGATATGGCCATGTGCAGTCCAGATTATGAAAGGCTTATTAACTATACAACCTGCAGAATAATACATTACATGAAAATAATATAATTTTTAAGGTGAGGTGATTATCGTCGTCTTTGTTGTCATCGATTATTATTATTTAGCATTCTTATGAAATAATTCTTGTTATATTCTATGATATAACATAACAGGCTGAACTCCAGGCACACCTAAATTGTAATGTCGACGCGTGAGATGGTAACGTTGCGTTAACTACACAATAATTTCCGGACACTTACGGTTCAAGCAGGCATCATAACTTGATAAAATGCCCTGAATAGGAGAAGGGACCGGACAAATGCATCGACAATCCTCAAAACTTCGGTTATCGTCAACTGTGGAAATAAAATAGGTAAAAGAGAATAAATTTTACTCTGAAGAATTCATCGAGATTTCTAATAAAGAATTAGGACTCAGCTGCTGCTTTTTCTTGCATGACAACCATCCTGATCATCATCATCATCTAAATCATTATTAGTATCATTCTTATTATATAATGCTTAAAACACTGGATAACAGTGTCAGTTTTTTAGACTTACTCTTTTATTTTACCATAATCACCATCATTATCATCATCATCAACTCATCATCATCGTTATGGTTATAAATTATGATTATCATCAATACAGGCCTCACACCCGTCGTTCGATGCAACAAGGTCGTCGGACCAAAATAAAAATTTGCCTATCCAAATAAAGTAATTTTGACTGCAATTCCCTAATAGTGCGATCTAAAAGAACAATTTGGCCCGAAAGTCATAAAAATCACCAAGGATTTTTATTCCGGGTCAATGACCGACTCTCTACTCGATCCCTTGGTTCGGACCTCCTGTCGGCAAAACTTCTGGAGGCGCCACTTCAATTAATTACCCACCTTCTAACTGACTACGTATATCGAAGCAAATTCTTTGCCACTGTGTGTTCTCTTCAATAAGAAACGCCTTTGCTGTCGATGATAACAACCTCGAAAACTCGGCATCTATCAAACCCTTTTTAACGTTGAATTCATACGTTAAAAAAGAGGGTACCTCTCCATCTAGGCTTCGAATTACTTGCTTTAAATTTTCCTGTCCAATTTGATAATAGTAAGTTATGATCATAATAATATCAATTAGCCTCAATGTGTAATGACTGTCTCTTATACACATCTAGATGTGTATAAGAGACAGATATATATACTGTCAACAAAATTTAGACTTTCACCTTCAGTAACTCCGTTGCTTGCACCTCAGTAATATTAGTGTGCCCATCGCTTACTGATCTGAAATCAAGTACTCCGCGAAAGACCTCATTGAATACCACTTCACCGTCCGCATCCAGTTGAAATCTGTAGCCTACTATCTGACCCAGTGATGGATCAGTTGTAGCACTAGGAATGAATGTTTCATGCGACTTTACGTACTCCAAAACCGCGTCCAATTCTTCATCAGCAAGACCTCCATTGCCTAATGAAAATGTTTAAAAGCAAAGTGCTTACTGTAACCTAACGCATTCAGGAAAATGACACATGATTGTAAAGTACATAATGGTTTTTGTTTGTCATTCGCCCTCTAAAAACTCATACACGTGCATAATGGACTGTTTACTAATCACAATCGCAATCACAAATCAATTCATTCAATCCTACAAAATAATATATTATAAATGTTAAAAAAAAGTATAAAAGGTAATTTAAAATGTAGGATCTGGGAGGCTCTCATTAAGACCAGAGACTTGCGAGTGTTCCTGGCTCTGTTTTGATTAGTCAGTTGTTTCAATGACACTTCGGAAATGTCCATTGTCCTAAAGCTTGGTTCACATTAAAACATCACTTTTAAAATTGGAAAACTCGATTAATAATTTGGATTGAAATTGTTGGGCTCTCAACAGCTCATGGTGTCCTCAAGACACTTGTCTGTTCATTTTACGATCTGTTTTTGTTGTGCCGAATATACTAATAAATAAATAGGCCTACTTAAATAAACACAATTAACAGCATATCTCTTAAATAATAAATTTACACTTGGCGCCTCATACTCTCCAGCCTAGCCACCAGTCCGTTTTCAATTAGAACCAGTTGACGCCAAAACAGTATGACAATATTATTGCTTGTATTATTGATGTTATGTTTAATATTTACTATTACCTTTATTATTATAATTTTTTCTGATGTGCATATTTCTTTGTTTTCCAATTATTTCAATGCTTTTTCTTTATTATGATCTTCTAATTAAATTAGGTTAGGTTAATGTAATTTGCGTTAATGTTCTGCAAATTATTTCATTCCTTTTAAACTTGTTTTGTATAGGCCTATTTTAATAAATTTTGGTCCCGATTTTTTCACAAACAAATGTGGTTTCTTGGGGGTTCCCTTTTGTGATTTGTCTATATTTTAATGTATTTTATATGCATTTTTTTGACAAACAAACATTTTTGTATCTGTCTGTTTTGAATTGGGACGTAACGCCTACGCCAACACCATCAGTCCTGGCGTGCCATCAATGATTGTGACTTTCAAAAGGGTACGGTAAAAAAACTACTGCATACATGCATGTTGACAAAACCATTAATGTTCAGTTGGTTGACACTTTTGAAATTGAAAACTTAAGTATTCAAAAGGCCAAGGTAGCGTCATAGACGATGGCTTTCACTATCCGGCGATCCGGTTATGAATTGTTGATGTAATCGATTTTAACAGCTTACAGTAGTTGAGTGGTACCGATCTCCCAGAGGGGAACGTCAATTTTCTTGACGGTAACATGGCTGTACATTAATTTACACCATGGAGGGATAAGTTTAAACTTATATACAGTGGCGTAACGAGGTTCTGAGGATCCCTGGTTCGAGAGCACCGTCAGGGCCCTTGACGAATATAAAGTCTTTATATTAGAGGAAAAAGAAACAGTTTTGTGATATTTGTTGGTAATTTATATTGTTCAGGCTTTCATGCATGCATGACGATGTTTCACTGTAGATTTCCATCCAAAACGATGATATCGGCGTCTGAGTGACACCTTTGCCAAATAGATATAGGGGCCTGGGCATGTATAATTTCTTATTTTAAAGTTAAGTTATTAACAATTTTAAATTATGAAGTTCAATATTAAATATAAAGATAAATATTATTAATCAATATTTTTCTGGCCCTGGATATCGGGAGCCCAGTTCAATTAACCGCCTGAATATGTGGTAGCCACTTCAAGGCATAAGTGATTATTTTCAACATTTTTCAATTATAATGTGAAGTATTAGGCCTATATATATAACAAGATAAATACTATCAATCTAGATTTTTTATTTATACATTGCTTTAATAGATTTTTTATATGGGGAGGGGGGCGGGGCCAGTATAGATCGGGAGCCCGTGGAGCTTGGGGCCCAGATTCAATGGACCTGCTGAGCCTGTGGTAGTGACGCCATTGAATTTATACCTCCATGTTATGACGTCTGCTCGACGGGAGCCAATTCTTGGTTTGAATACTGTATAACGTTCATAGATAAAAGAAACATAACTCTCTGGTCCTAAGCATTATCCTACAAAGTGTTAATTCGAGCGTGATGTTTGTTAATGGCAAGGAGAATACCCAATGATTATTTACGGGCCAGTTCGGAGCTGAGTGTGTCACTTCTTTTGTAATCATAGCATTATAATGGTTTTATCATTTCATTTCTTTTGGCACGAGCGCCAATCAGTGAACTTGATCACTATCCTACTTGGCATATCCATTAAACAACAAGGGACAGATGAATGGACCAGTTACACTAAGATAACCCCTACTCTTCTCAAAGGGTGTACTGGGTTCTTTAAAATGCACACGAGCCAAATGCGTACACTGGGCCTACGGTTTGAAGTCCTTATCCGTTGGCGAGTGATGAGCCGTTTAAACCAGCGCCGATGATATTATTGCTGAAGGCTACGGTGCCCCTGACTTAACCGCTCGGCCAACCAACTCGCCATAAGCAATAAATGTAACCTAAAAACAAAAAAAAAACCAAAAAAAAACAACCCCAAAAAATCAAAACAGCCTAAAAAATTAACGAATGCGTTAGCCTCAAGTGGAAGCAAGGAATGTTCTATTTTCTCTATGGTTATACAACTTAAAATCGAAAGCTTTGTGGTGTTTAAAGTGCCAGTAGACCCGAAATTTCTTTGAACGTGCCTGACGTCACAGTTTTGATAATTAATATCGCATTGGTTTATAAGATATCTCCGCTGTATTAATG